TTTTTTTCATTTCAGAATTCACATTTCCTGGTTCTTTATATGTGAGTAATTTTTTATTATGTCCTGGACAGTTTGAATATATGACACTGTGAACCCTGTGAGAAATACCTGGAAAATGTTGATTTTTGTTACTCGTTTTATTTTTGTCAGGCAATCTACCCAGTTAGATTCAGATTGCATATGCCATGTCACTTTATGTGGGTGGTGGTTCCAATGGTGGTTGGGTCTTTGTGGTCTTGCCCAGGGCATGTGCCACTCAGGGATTTGGACAGTGGCTTGTACTATAGTTTCATTCTCAACACCTTTGTCATATTTCTTTAGTTCTGTTTGATGAATACACAGCTGGGGGTGCGGGGAGTGGTAAACCAGAATTAGTGCTTTTTCTTTAGCTCCGTGTTCTTGTCCAAGACCTCCTTCACATTCTCCAGATAGCATGGTTTCCTTTTCCCGTTTCCTCTAGTGGCCAGAAAGTTGTTTTCTTCAATTTCTGCCTCCTAACCTGTTGTGAGTTTTGAGTATCTAAGAGAGAAGGGGAAAAAATAATAGGAATTCCCTCCGTACTCCCCCAACATCATATCTTTTTCTCAATCCTGCTAGTTAGAGAGATGGGATTTCTCTTGGGGGTTTAGATGCTGCTATAGCTGCTGCACACAGATCTTTACAACTGGTGCTGACCCAGGGCAGAGCTGATAGAGTGGAAAGAACAAACCAGATATCCCTGCTTCACCCCACTCTTCAGCTTGGAAAGAGGGCCCTCTTGCCAGTCTTTGGCTGGGGCTCTCTCTAAGTTCCCGGAGTCCCTGGCATCTGTTTTTGCTGTGAGTTCTTGAATCAGCTCAGGAGACAAAGAAAAAAAAACTGAACCTCACCCTCTTTATGGGTCATTCAAGTTTGACTTCCCACCTACACCCATCTTTTACTTTCCAGAATTCTCATGTAGTTGCTTTTCATATTTTTATCCTCAGTTTTTAGTTGTAATAGGAGAAGTAAGCCATACTGTATTTAATCTTGGCTGGTTCTGGAAGTTACGTTTATTTTACATAATAAAATTGATTAGTTTTGTCTTTATATCTTGTGTCTTCTGTGTTTGTTTTTAATAAACTTTCCTAACCAAAGGTTATAGAACTATATTTCTATATTTTATGTGTATGCATTAGTTTCTACATTTAAGAATTGATTTTCTGTCCTGTAAGGGATCTAATGTCAGTAGTCGGTTGCAGTGCCAATTATTGTGTGTCTCCTTTTGATCTGGAATGCTATACAGGCATTCCTCCTTTTTCTGTGCTTCACAAATACTGCATGTTTTACAAATTAGAGATTCAAGACTTCACTTCTGCAGATGTGATGAAACAGCAAGAGAACTAGAATTAGAACTGGAGCCCGGAGATGTGACTGAATCACTGCAATCTCATGATCAAATGTGAACTGATGAGGAGTTGCTCTTTTTTTTATTTGGGGTTAGAATGGATGTTTATTTTTTTTATTTAAATTCAATTAACATAATATATTATTAGTTTCAGAGGTAGAGTTCAGTGATTCATCAGTTTTATATAATACCCAATGCTCATTACATCATATGAGAGTTGCTCTTTTTGATAAGCACAAAGTGATTTCTTCAGATGGAATCTGCTCCTGGTGAAGACTGTTGAAATGACAACAGAGGATTCAGAATATTACATGAGTTTAGTTGATAAAACAGCTGTAGGGCTTTAAAATGGATTGATTCCATTTTAAAATAAATTCTGTGGTTAAAATGCTACTAAACAGCATCACAATCTGCAGAGAAGTTATTTGTGAAAGAAGAGTCAAATCAGTGCAGCAAACTTCATTTTTTAAGAAATTGTCACAGCCTTCAGCAGCCACCACCTTGATCAGTCAGCAGCCATCCACATTGAGGCAAGACCATCCACCAGCAGAAGGATTATGATTTGCTGAAAACTTAGATGCTGGTTAGCATTTTTTTTTTTAGCAATAAGAATTTTTGAATTAAGGGATCCCTGGGTGGCGCAGCGGTTTGGCGCCTGCCTTTGGCCCAGGGCGCGATCCTGGAGACCCCGGATCGAATCCCACGTCGGGCTCCCGGTGCATGGAGCCTGCTTCTCCCTCTGCCTGTGTCTCTGCCTCTCTCTCTGTGTGTGTGACTATCGTAAATAAATAAAAAACCTTTAAAAAAAAAATTTTTTTTGAATTAAGGAATGTACATTTTGTAGACAATGCTATTGCATGCTTAACAGACCACAGTACAAGCTAACTGTTTTATGCACCGGGAAACCAAAAACTTAATTTGACTCACTATATATTGCAGTATTCCCTTCCTTGTCTGGAAGGAAACACCCAGTACCTCCAAGATAATGTCTGTAGTTCCTTTCATTGTCCATAGATTTCATTGCTTTGGTGGGGGCTGTCTTCTGAGGCACCAATAGACAGCATTCCTTTTTCCTTTCACATTGAGAATATGGAGATTCAAAATAGCTCCTTTATTATAGCAAAGGCTAGAGGAAGCAGCTTAGTGAGAGTTGTATTAGACTTGCTAATTCTCTACCCATCAGTTCTACCACCCACCTAAGTCTAGCCTAGACCAGTCCAGCCCCAGGAAAGTTTGCATCTGCAGAGAATACCCACTTATTCAGGTCACTGCTTCCTACTCACCAGTCCAGGGAAAGAAGGAAGGAAAAAGAGACCAGACTCCACATCCTCAAGGTAACTCACTCCACTTTCCTGAGGAGGGTGTAGGAGTGGAATAAGAGACCAGGAGCATTAGCAGACCTGTCATACAGCCTGGGAGAAAGAGAAGTAGTTTGTGCCCCCACCCCCACCCCCCACTATTTCAATTTGTCAGGTTTTTATTGTTAGAATTTTTTTTAAGATGATTTGTTTATTAGATTGAAGATGAGCAGGGGAAGGGACAAAAGGCAAAGAAACAGACTCCCCACTGAGTGGGGAACTGGACAGGGTGGTAGGGCTGGATCACAGGACCCCTGAGGTCATGACCTAGGTCAAAGTCAGATGCCTAACTAGCTGAGCCACCAACACACCCTTTCTTAGAAATATTTCCTGAAAATTAGTTGAACTAAACCATATCAATATTTAGCTGCATTCACAACAGAAAAGAATGTCATGATCATATGACTTAAAAAATATATCTTTAAGGAGCATTAACTATGACCTGTACAGTACCATGTTTCTTTGGATTAAAAAAAAAGCAGAGAGTAAATACTTCAGACTTCTTGATTATTTTTCTTAGATCTACCAGTTCATAGTTTTATAAACCTAGTCATGTATTCATTACTTGCTATGAGCAAGAATTACACTAGATATAATTAGCACATGGTTCTCATTGGAAGGCCTCACAGTATACTAGAGAAGAGAATTACGGTATTGGTGATACTTGCTCACTACCACAGAACCATGGACAGAATGTTTCGATTATGTAAACAATGGAGAAATTGAGAACTAGTGTTATATTTAAGGAAATCTATTATTTCTATGTAATATATTTGTGAAGATTTTGTGAAGTTTTGAAATGGTAATCCTATTTAATTCTGTTTCTCTACCATTTTCATGGAAGTAAGTAACCAATGATCATTTCAAATAAATGATCATTCCAAATGAAAATTACTTGGTCAATATATATCCCTTTGAGGTGTATTTTTTAATTTTTTGCTCTTAGTTTGTGCCATCAAGGTATTTTAGCGGGAAGAGATACCTGACATTACATTGTTTTTATATAAAGTCTTTTAAATTAAGAGGCAGGATGTGACTAGCTGGCTCTATCAGTAGAGCAGGTGACTCCTGATCTTATGGTTGTGCATTCAAGCTCATGCTGTGCATAGAGATTACTTAAAAATAAAATCTTTAAATAAATAGATGGAGGTGTCATCATACTGCTACCTCAGAGATAGAAACCAGAATGAATACTTATTGTGTTTAATGACAAGGGAAATCTTTATTCTCTGCTCACTAAAATTTTAATTATAGAGTCACATAGGGGCAACTAGAGCAAAAAGTGAACTGTGTGTGTGTGCGCGCATAAAAGACATCCCAGGGAGTGGAGAGAACACAAGTGTTCGAGCCAGGCCAACCTAGGTCACATCACTCTGAGTAACCTTGGGCAAATTCTTAATCATCTGAACCTTAATTTTCTCCCTGCCTGTAAGGAATAATAGCTACTGCATTCACTTCTTTAGAGCTATGCACGATGTGTTTCTAAGCCCACAACCTGAACATGAATGCTCCCAGTCTTTCTAAGCCTATGATCTAAAGGAAATCTTCAAACAAAAGTGGGCCAACTGTATTTTAAGAACTTAGTGCCAGGTAGCAAGCTGCCTATAATATTTCAAGAAAGAGAATGCTAAACAAAATAGATAGTGCTTATTTAGATACTGCAATTTATATCTCCCTGATTGAAAATGTAGAAATTGTTATTTATGGGGTGAAGCCTTAAAACTACGCAAATGTGCAATATAGAATAGGGGGTAAATGACAGGAGATCATGGGGGACGTGTATGGTTATAAAGAGTATAGATAAGATAAAAATGGTTTTGATGTGTTACAGGATATAGATATATATAGATGATAGATAGATAGATAGATAGATAGATAGATAGATAGATAGATATTTTACAATTAAACTTGGGTTTAAACTTTAAAAACTGGAAAAAAAAATCCCAACAGTTGCTGAGTGATTCTTTCATTTTTCCAATTGGTCGGTGCCATCATAAAAAAAAAAAAAAAAAAAAACATGTAATAGAGCCAGTGAGCCTCATGGAGCAAAAGGTTTCTTTATAGACAAAACACTAACTTTCAGTTTCTTAATGCTTAGTTCCACTAAGAACCAAAGGAGACCGGCAGCCTTAGTTCTTTTAACTCCTTCGATGCCAGCCTTCTAGCTGTTGGGTTTCTGTCAGCTGTCATATCTACCATGTTGACAAGATAGTGAAACTACAACATTCAAATTTATCTTTTCAAAAGCAGGGTTTTTCTTTGTTTTAATGTTACAGATTTATTTGAGGTTCCTAGATTATCAAATGGAGCACTCAAATGAATGCAAGAGAAACTTTGTTGCAGTTTATGATGGAAGCAGTTCTATTGAAAATCTGAAGGCCAAGTTTTGCAGCACCGTGGCCAATGACGTAATGCTGAAAACAGGAGTTGGAGTGATCCGAATGTGGGCCGATGAGGGCAGTCGACTGAGCAGATTCAGAATGCTCTTTACTTCCTTTGTGGAGCGTAAGTAAATACTACAACACTGAGATCTTTTTACACAATTTTCATTCATTCAGAATTCAATTATGGTGCATTTCCTCTTGACAAAGACTGCAAGTCAAAGAGAAGGCAGAAATAACTAAGTTTTAGTCCCTGTTCTCAAAGAATTATCTGGTCTAGGTGAAAAACCACATTAATACATACATTGCAACACTGCATTATTACAAAGGTGTAAACATATGACAGGAAATGCAGAATGGAAACTTCAAGATTTTCAAATTTAAAAATAATTATCAGTAGTATTTAAAAAAAAAAAGTAGTATTAATTCAGCTTGGTGAATCATTATGAGCCTGCCAAACCATGCTCATCAAAATTTAGGTAGGCTGTTTTTTCTTTTTAAATAATTTTAAGCTGATCTAAAATTTTTTAAATAGGACAGAATTTTCATATGTCCTTTAACTCAGATTCCCCTAATAGTGTAGTAAAACTGAAAATGAACACTGATACAGTATTATTGACTGATACATAGACCATATCCACACATCACTAGTTTTCCCATTAATGTCTTTTTCTGATGCAGGATCCACGTTGCATCTATCTACTTGTCTTCTCTCCTTTAGTCTCCTCAATCTGTGATGGTGCCTCAGTCTTTGGTGACCTTGATACATTTGAAGAGCACTGGCCATTTATTTGGTAGAATGTTGTCCATTTGAGTTTCTCTGATGTTTTCTCATGGATTCATTTGAAGTTATATATTTCTGTCAGTATCACAGAGAGGACATTACACCTTTCCCGCACATCACACTGGTGAGGTGGGTGTGTGTAATGCAGATTTGTCCCTCGTTAACTTCCCTCACTTCCTTGGGGAGCTCTCTGTCAAGATTCTCCACTATAATGTTACTAATTTTTTCATTTCTAGTTAATAATGCTCTTTGAGACTATGCAGATATCCCTTTGCACATAATTACAGTGTCTGTTAATGGTTTTCATCTGTAATAGGTGATACCATAGTGTTTACCTAATGGTAGTTTACTGTCTCCATTATTCCTTCTACACTTATTAATTGTAATTCTTTTGTGAGGAAGAACTGTTTTTCCCCTCATTTATCTTTTGGTGATTTATATCAGTATGAGTTTATGGATTTTTATTTTATGCCATTATTATTATACATATAAAATTATATATAGCATACAGTTAGTATAATACTAACATTATTTTGTTGCTCAAAGTCCCAGCTTTGGCCATTGAGAGCTCCTTCAACTTGTCTCTTTTATCCTTTGTTTTTTGTTGTTTTGGCGGGGGGGGGGGTGTTTAAATCACTTTCTTTCTATCACCACAAGATAGCCCAGGCTTGATTGTGTTTTCCCTGGCCCAGCCCTAGAACCAACCATATTTCCAAGAAGCCCTTTTCTTCTCCTCAGAAAACACTGCTAAAAACGCTTACAGGGTTTTTTTTTATAGGAATCATAATGAATCCATAGATTGCTTTTGAATAGTAGTGTCATCTTAATATTAAGTCTTCCAGTGTATGAACCCAAAATGTCTCCCAGTTTGTTTGTTGTTTTTAAGTTTTTTCAAGAATGTTTTATTCTGGAGATGCCTGAGTGGCTCGGCAGTTGCGTCTGCCTTTGGCTCAGGGCGTGATCCTGGAGTTCCAGGATAGAGTCCCATATCGGGGTCCCCAGAGACGGCTGCCTATGTCTCTGCCTCTTTCTGTGTATCTCTCATGAATAAATTGAATCTTTTAAAAAAAATGTTTTGTTCTATATACAAGTCTACATTTTTAGTGTGTAAAAATGCACCTGATTTTTGTTTGCTGTTTGTATCCTGCAGCATTGCTGAATTAGTTTTTTAGTGTGTAATCTTGTTAGCGTTTTCTACATATAAGATTATGTGGTCTGTGAACAGGTACTTTTCCAATATTGGATGCTATTTTATTTTTCATTTCCTTTTCTCGTCTCATTGTTCTTGCTAGAACTTCTAGTACTATACTGAATAGAAATGAAAAGGGACACCCATGTCTTGTGTCTGATCTTTGGAGAAAAGCTTTCAGCCTTTCACTGTTGAATAGGTGTTAGCTGTGGGGTTTTCATATATGGCTTTTATCACGTTGAGGAAGTTTTCATCTGGTCCTAGTTTATTGAGTGTTTTCATCATGAAAGGATGTTGAATTTTGTCAAATTCTGATTCAATGGAAATGATCATGTCATTTTTTCCCCTTTCATTCTGTTAATGTATATTACATTGATTTTTGTGTGTAGAACCATTTTTATGTTCCAGGAATAAGTCCCACTTTGTCATGGTGTATAATCCTTTTAATATGTTGCTGAATTCAGTGCTAGTATTTTGTTGAGGATTTTTGCATCAATATGCATGAGGAGTATTGGTCTGTAGTTTTCTAATAGTATCTTTCTGGCTTTAGTAGATGGTTATGCTGGTCTTTAGAATGAGTAAGAAGTGACCCCTTCTCTTCAACTTTTTGGAAGAGCTTGAAAATTGACATTCTATAAACATTTGGTAGAATTCACCAGTGAAACCATCCAGTTCAGGGCCTTTCTTTGTTGGGAGATAGTTTGATTACTGATTCAGTCTTCTTGCTAGTTAGAGATCTACTCAAATTTTCTTTTTTTTTTTAAGATTTTATTTATTTATTCATGAGACAGAGAGAGAGAGAGAGAGAGAGAGAGAATGAGAGAGAGGCAGAGACACAGGCAGAGGGAGAAGCAGGCTCCATGCAGGGAGCCTGCTGTCGGATTCAATCCCAGGACTCCAGGATCACACCCTGGGCTGAAGGCAGGCACTAAACCGCTGAGCCACCCAGGCATCCCTAATTTCCACATATTTATGAATTTTCCAGTTTATTTGAAAAAGATACAAAAGATACTTTGTATGATGTCAGTCTTTTAAGATTTTTATGTGTCTGTGGCAGAACATTTGGTCCATCCTGGAGAAAGTTCTATACACACGTGAGAAAAATGTGTATTTCTCTGTTGTTGGGTGCAACTTTATGTATGTATCTATTAGGTCCAGTTGGTTTATAGTATTAGTCTTTTATTTGCTTATTTATCTTCTGTATGGCTGTTTTACCCATTATTGAAAGTGGAATATTGAAGTCTCCAACCATTTGTGTAGAATATCTAATTTCTCCCTTAAATTCTAATAGTGTTTGCTTCCTATACTTTTAGGACTCTGATTTTTGGTTTATATTTTTTTATAATTGTTGTATCTTCTTGATGAATCTCTTTTACCAATAACAGTGTCCCTCATTGTCATTTGCAACAGTTTTGATTTAAAGTCTACTTTTGTCAGTATTTGTATACTGGCCACCCCAGCTGTCTTTTTGGTAAATAACTATTTGCATGGAACATCTTTCTCCATTTATTCATTTTCAACCAATTTTTATCTTTAGATCTAAAGTGAGTCTTTTGTAGAACAGTGTATAATTGGACCTTGTAGGAGGGTTTTATTATCTATTCTGTCAATCTCTGCTTTTTTTTTTTTTTTCAATCTCTGCTTTTTGAATAGAGGGTTTAACTCATTTAGATTTTTAGTAATTAGTAAGAAGGAAGGACTTCTGCCCTTTGGCTGTTTGTTTTCTAAATGTCTTAAAGCTTTTTGTCCCTCATTTCCTTCATTATTACTTTGTGGTTAATCGAGTTTTTTGTGGCAACACATTTGAATTTCCATTTGTGTATATTCTTTAGATATTTTCTTTGTGGTTATAATGGGGTTTTGTCTTTTTATGAGTTAGTTATGTCTTTAAAAGTCATCTTTACAGGATGCCTGGGTGGCTTAGTGGCTGAGCACCTCCCTTCCACCGGAGTCCCAGGATCAAGTTCCACATTGGGCTCCCTCCATGGAGCCTACTTCTCCCTTTGCTTGTGTCTCTGCCTCTCTCTCTCTGTGTGTGTGTCTCTTGTGAATAAATAAAATATTTTAAAAATTAAAATTAAAAAAATAAAAGTCATTTTTACTATTTTGTGGGCATGTGAGAACCTTTTCATATTAAAGAATGGGGTAGCTCATGTATAGATCCTGACCTAGCTTAAAAGTGGAGACACTCTTGAGGACAGATTTTAGGATCCTTCCCTTAAACTTCTGATAATTCACATGAACGAATTCTAGGAAAAAAATTGGTTCTATTGCCTATCTCCTATAAAAGTCCAAATGACTGTTTTATTGATTTTATTTGTCATAAGTGCAAATAATATTACATTAGCTTTGATTTTTTTAAAAATGGCCTTCAAAAATACCATCATGTTTTTGGCTTGATTTAATTTTAATCTGCATTTGGACAGTGCTGAATGATTAGTCTCTCTCAACTAGTCCCTTTCCTCATGGCCACTTCTGTTCGAAGAAAATTACCATTTAATGACTCATCCAAACTGCCCCAGTGTAGTTGAAGGTATATGTTCACATCACATATATTTTAAAAATAAATGGTAGGGATCCCTGGGTGGCACAGCGGTTTGGCGCCTGCCTTTGGCTCAGGGCGCGATCCTGGAGACCCGGGATCGAATCCCATATCAGGCTCCCGGTGCATGGAGCCTGCTTCTCCCTCTGCCTGTGTCTCTGCCTCTCTCTCTCTCTCTCTCTCTCTCTCTCTCTGTGACTATCATAAATAAATAAATTTTAAAAAATTTAAAAAAAATTTAAAAAAATAAAAATAAATGGTAGATCTTCTATATTATCCTCAGAAGGAAATATTTTCACTTTTATATACTCACTAATGAATACAGTAACATGGTAAACTATGATTTATGCAAATCAAAATTTGTAAATATAAAGATGTAAGAGTAAGATACTATCAGATATTTTTCTTTTTTTCTTTTTTTCTTTTTTTTTTTTTAATGATAGTCACACACAGAGAGAGAGAGAGGCAGAGACACAGGCAGAGGGAGAAGCAGGCTCCATGCACCGGGAGCCCGACGTGGGACTCGATCCCGGGTCTCCAGGATCCCGCCCTGGGCCAAAGGCAGGTGCCAAACTGCTGTGCCACCCAGGGATCCCTCAGATATTTTTC